TTGTGTCAGGGATGACTCGTTTCTGCCGACAGTCGGCCCACTTCAACCAGTTGAGATTGGCGTGCGCTTGGATGACGTTAATCATAGACGAGTGCGTTGACACTACTGTACTCTTTCTTTGCGCTGACACGAACGTCGTATGGAGGAACGGCGTAGCTCCACCAGGACACAGTCTTCTCCCTCACGTGGGCCTACACCTCTGGATTGCTCACAAGGCGTGCCCGAGTGCGCTTAATCCTCTACGCGCAGTCATGAGCTTCTTCGCGCATCCTCGCGCCGCTCAATCCCGCGCCGCTCTCAACTTTTATAGAGAATGCGTGGAGGCATCGCACGGCGCTGGCACGAACGCACTTGCCTCCCGTGTTGCGCATAGTCTGGGAAGTGTAAATACACGTCCCGAGGAGCTCAGAGACCAGATCATGCCATTCCTCAGATGGCTCTTTGTTTGTGTGGGCGTCGACGTACTCACCAGGCCCGTGCATGAGCTGCTGTTCGACAAGTTGATCGATACACTTGTCATTGTATCTCACGAAGGAGACGAGTACACCCATGCGACTGTGGAGACCCACAGAACGGTCGCTGCTTACGCTGAGTACGGCTTGGCGCTTACCTGCCGTTGAGGTTTTGACATCGTCATTCCTAGAGCGTACTTGGGATATATCATTTCCGCCCGTCCACAGGATTCACCCGACAAAGCTTTGGTACGCACTACGAACTCATGGCGTCCTAACGGAAGAGCACTTGGCACGTTCTTCGAGCGCGGGTTGCATTGCTTGCTTCACAGCTTGATCTTCCGAGTGGACCAAGTCGATCCAGGTAGGGATTCCCTTCTGTCATGGGACAACGCGTTGAACATTCTCCAGAAACATTTGCGTACGAGCTACTGGGAGTCTGGACGGAATGGAATCAAGGCATCCGAGAACTTCGCCGGCAGTGCGCTACGGATCCTTTCGCGGTCGAATGCATCTCCAGCATGGCGAACGCGATGCGTCCGACCTGGATATCTAGCTTTGTCCGTGTTATTCCGTTTGCTCGGGACAACGCAATAGACATGGCGCTTAAGTCTATCTGGGATATTGGCAACATGCTGGGATTGAATCCGTTCGAGGAGCATCCCCGAGGACTCGCGATGAAGCGCTGTTCCTGGAGGAAATGCCAGTACCACAAGGAGGAGGCCTCCGGGATTGTTCTTCGAAGCTGCAAAGGGTGTGGCGAAGTCAGATATTGTAGTAGATCTTGTCAGAAGAGGTACGTTGCCGTTTGATCCGACGCCTCACTTCCGCAGAACTGAGTTTCGCCGCAGTGATTGGACTGAAGGCCAGCACAAGTGATGGTGCCGACGCTTGAAGATGTAGTATCTGCTGTCAGGTTGTAAATGAATATATCGGACTTAGAATGTTGTGTGTGATGTCTTGCCTTCGTGAAGGCCTGATTGAGTAGGAGACCTCGGGCGGGCTCTGCGTAGCAAGCCACAATGACGGTAGGAGGACATGAAGAGGATCGAGTCAGAGCTTACCTGAGAGTGACGTCGATGTCCTGTACAGAGTCAGACGGAGAGACGACGGGCACCGGAGATGAGGGTGATGGTGGTTGGTAGGTTGAGGCGCGAGAGCATGGCAACCTAGGATGCCGGGATTCGAACATCAACAAGAACAAATAACACGCTCGCCATTCGACGTCACTTTCATTTGACGGTCTGCCGCGACCATGTCTGAATGCGTCATGCAGGGAGAGCCATCGTCTGTTGGGCCTTGTTCTCTAGCGTAGAATTCGTCTGAGATAAGCGATAAGCAGTACTTCGTTTGGCCACGCGGACCGAGCCCCGGGCATGATGTCAGGCGGGATCCACTCCATGCTGAGGTTGTCTCCAACTACCACTCTACCTTACATTGCTTCTACACCAGCACAGTGCTCTCATATACTTCTGTGAGCATACCTCATTGATTTGGGCCTGCTAGTTCTGACACCAACACAGATGGGTCTACTTCGCAAAGACGAAAATGGAAGATGGCTTCTAGAACTTCCCAATCTCGCAGGAGCGGTCGTCTCCATCTTTGCAGCGATCCTGGGCCCAGCTTGGGAACTGATGTCGTCTGGTACAGATGAGGTGGTCTCCTTCGCCGGCCGGACATGGCTCGTCGCTATATCCATCATCTGCGGTTTGTGCACGCTCTGGATGGTCGCTGGCTTCTTCATTTTCACGGCTCGTTTCGCCGGCTGCGATGGGCTGACTCTGCTTACCGCCATTGCGTCATCTCCGCTTTATCACGAGCCCGCACTCTTCGACAAACTCCCTCTGTCCGCGAGTATACAAGCCGCATCTGAGCGCACGGCACAGCTAGAGTCTACCGTCATCGACCTTCGCCTCATACTTGAACAACAGACGGGCGTTGCTCTTCGCCCGAGTGGGATACCTTTCGACATCGTGGATTTGTCCGGAAGGGTATCTGCGCTAGAGGTGGAAGCCAGCGCCGCCCTTTCTCGGTTCGACGACGTCCGTGTCCTGCTGGACGGCCTGACGACAGACATTGCAAGCGTCCGGGCTCATCTGGGCAGCCACCAGGACGCGACGCGTGCAGATCTTGGCGATGTTAGCAAGAACATCATCACGTTACGCGATGAAGCCCATGCGGCCCTCTACCGGATGACACACGACCTGGCGGACGTGCACGCGACCTTAGCACGCTACGACGGTCTCACGCACACGGTCGAGGAGAAGACGGACTTCGCCTTGTTCACTACTGGCGCAGTAACCATCCCGAGTCTCACCTCGCCGGACCGTAATCTTCCTCCCAACAACACTCTTGCTGATCGTGCGAAGAGTCTCGTATGGTGGCCCTCCAGGTCTGGCGCAGGAGGTAGGACTTCGCCGATTCCAGTCGCGAATGATGTGTCTAATGACTATTACCAGACCCTATACATTCGAAACCGTGGCCCACCGGCTCGGACATGGCTATCCACTATGATGTGGAACCTGGGTACTGCTGGCCCTTCAATGGAACGCGAGGACACCTCGCTGTTCAGTTGCCTGTCCCAGTGCTCTTCGAGGAGGTTGCCATCCATCACACACGTCAACATTGGGATATAAGCCCAGCTCCCCGTCATATACAGCTTTGGGCGCTGATCACGGGCCCCGAGGCGCTCGAGAAGGCCAGCGATTGGGCCACTGTGGGAGATCAGACTCCGCCGCCCGAGCTTCCCGCCGTCTTCGACCAGAGTCGCTATTTACGCATCGCCGAGTTCGAGTACGACCTCTCGTCATCTCTCGCCACCCAGGTCTTCTCTGTCGACCCTACTTTCAAAGCCCTTGAGATTCCTTTGGACGTCGTCATCCTCTACATCTTGGACAACTGGGGGAACGAAGAGTACACTTGCATCTATCGCTTCCAAGCCCATGGTCGTCTGGTAAGTGGCGACTAATAGTCAAGCTTCTACGATCTAACCAAAACGCATATAGGCGTCTGGTGAACGCACGCATAGCGAATAGGGTGACGGCTTCCCAATGTATAAGATACCCTTATGTCGGACGCGTATCATGCACCAATTTTATCGTACGAGTAGCCCTTATGAAGTTTGTTGTTTACTATCCGATCACAATGGCTATTGGGACAATTATCAAGGTACTTTGCAGACTACCGGGCAAGTAGCTATACGGTTCTCAAGTCAGAACGGTCCGGATGAACTGTACTAGTCGGACGACAATTCAATACTGGCATACCCACGGAGCTCAACTAGTTCACAACCGCATTAGTTAATCGTATTCTCGAAACTCAGATATTAATTCAACGCCAGCGATGAAATGTGTATACTACAAAGCACTCGGTTATCATCGAGAAGGTCCTACGCGAAATACCGCTGAGTCTCATGAGGAACCCTCGTGCTCCCCCGCTTTAGCTGCATCCTCTGTAGAGTTATCGCCACGCGCGCGCGCGGCCTCTGCCCTACTTGACGCTGTAGCAGCGGGGAATCTGAAGATGCCCGCAGACGGACGGTGGGGAGGCAAGTGGGATCGCGCTACACTAGAGCTTTGCGGACCAGGTCGCGTCGCGCTACCCGAGGCTTGCACGGAGGCGACCCACCTACTGACCCGATCCCGCGATTCCTCGCCATACGAGGCGTTCGAAGCCGATTGACGACGAGGGAATGATCCCAAGGATGACGCTGTAACGCCAGCTACAACAGCGTTAGAACTCAGAGATGTAAAGCGTGACAATCCACGTACAGGCGAGGGCCGTCGCTTTCTTTGGGGTTATAGGAGATCCCGCTCGCGTCGGGACATGCATGGCAGGTTCGGCCTTCGAACTAAGCGAGCGATGCGCACGAGCACTAGTAGTAGGCGCACTAGGCGAGATACGGTTGTCATTTTGAGCCGCGCACGCATGATCGTAAATATGTTGAAGAATGTCCGCTGAATTGTCGACGACGGACCAGCCAGTCCGGTAGAGTCTCCTCTGCAAGAGTAGTTCCTCGCTTGGAGCCTTAGCGCCCCAGTCGAAGTTGTGATCTGCGCGCTCGTTCAAGCGAAGATAGCGTCCTTGTGTGGCGGGGTCAGATATCGCGATGACCACGCTGTAGGAATACGTACTTTCAGTTGCGGGCATGAAGAAACCACACGCAATGCCATCCTCCTGCAGCCCCGGTAGCTCTTTGTGAACATACCCCGGGCAGCCCCACACGCGACCGTCCATGCGAGAGATCGCATCCCAGCCATGATCGCAGTGCACATCCTCCTCCTCATCGAGCCCACCCACGAAGGAATATCGGCTGTCGCGGCCACGCTCGGGTCGGAGACTGGTTGAAGTGGGCCGACTGTCGGCAGGAACGAGTCATCCCTGACATGAAATTGACTAAGTCTGTACTAACCAAATACTGTGATTTTGTG